TGCTGCCACATATGGTCTGGTGCTCAGCTATTTATCTTTAGCTCTGATAAAATCCAGAGAATCAGCAATATTATTGGTCCTGATCTGGCAGCTCAGCTTCAGTAATTTTCCCACCACCATAAGGTTGTCTCTCTGTGTCTTTTCTATAAGTATTTCATGGTAATTGTTCAGATGAGCTCTTCACTGTGGTACCTAGACTTTTAATTTAAGTGCAGGACAGACATCAAGATCTCATCAATTTACAGTTGAGTTGGCTAGATGTAACAATAAATTCTATGCTAACAGTTTCTTTTCTTGCACTTCTTGCATGTGGAACTCCCTTCTGGCTACATGCATTCCAGCCAAATTTAATCTTTAAAAATTTAAATGCAATGCCAATCACAATCTATTTTCCTCTTGATTACTCTTTCCTCTTCCTGCTCATTATGAATGTTTCTGTTCCTAATTCTTCTCCACTGTGTAAGCCCTTGTCTTAATGGCTTTATGGGGTGATACCAATTTAAAAAAAAAGTCTTAAAATAATTGAATTTTTTTTTAAAGATGGTGATTTGTGTCTGAAATTAAACTCAGAAATGAATAACTATAAGTTATTTGTAATGATTATTTAAAATGTAAGCTAGAGTAGAACCTGACAATTAGTATTTAAAAATTTTCAGAACTCAAAGAAACCATATGTAAAGAATTATATAAGCTTAAAAACACACAAAGTCTGTTAATAAAAAAAGAAAGATGTATCCTATTAATTTTTACTTACACATCTATTCAATATGATTAAACATTTCCAGAAAATTAAGAATACACATGATTAATTATGATAATCTAAAATGTATTTTTAAGAAAAGTCTGTAAACTTCAACTAAACTAAAATTAAATTTAACATCATTGCTTTTCAGAAGAGGAATATACAGAATATTGCTCAAATGTTTGAGAAATTTTGTCACAAACACAAACATTTACTCTAAAATCTAGTTTCCACCATCACTTTCAAGACACTACTTCAGAAAAAACTGTGAAGACTTGGTGCTATGCTACTGCTGACAAAGGGTAGCACCAAATGTCCATGCAATGTTTAGCTTGTATATAGATAAAATTCCTTGAACTTTTAGATAGTATCACATATATTCAAATAAAGGGATTGCTACTAGGAGGTGCTGAAATGTTCTCAGTCCACCGCACCTCCCAAAATCTGACCAAACAATCAAATATCAGAATCAATTTTGGAATCCATTCAGGGTCAGACCAATAACTTTGCAGCACCCCCTTGTATGTGTTTCTGCTGACATAAATTTTTCAGGTAAATCTGTAGTACTGGGTACATTTGTATGTACATAATAAGGAGAAAAGAAATGGCAGAGATAGATTTTTACAGTAATGAGATTGGTTTGTTTCTGTTATTATTGCTAATCTATTATAAATGTAACATTCTCTTTCTGGTTGTTGATTCTTGGCACTAGCTGATGTGAGAGTTCAAAAATAGGTTAGGAAAAAGTAAAAGTTAGTAAGTTCAAGTATAGGTCAGGATACATTACCAAATTGTAGTTGTGAAAATGGATAAAATTAGATGTTGAGCAAATGATTAGACACTCATTTGTGCATTGTTGAGTCGTTTCGGAGCTGACTCTCTCTGTCAAGTTTATTTTCATACTGTTTGATAGGATCCCAAAGTCAGCTCAGTGCAAAGACAACAGACTGGTTGAAAAATAAACCGTTTCTGAATTCAGTTCTGATTGGTCAAACTGTTTGTACATTTAGATCTGCTTTTTATAAAAGGGAAGAAAATACCTTTTGGAGAGCAGATAATTAATCTGGGCTCAACTTTTTGCAAAGTTTTATTAATTTTTTTTAGTTAATAAATAACATGTAAATACACAAGTAACCCTTCTCACAATGAAAACAATCTCCTGTATCTTACCCTACCCTTTCATAACTTTACTCTCCTGTTTTTCAACTTTGACTAGGTGCCTATTACATAAACACACAAAATTTAAATTTAAATATTCAAATTACTAAGTAGAATTTAATACTGTTCTTCTTTTATGTGCTGTGTTCCTTCAGGACATAGGCGATCATGGGCTTCCACATCTTCCCGTCTCTCGTAGCTCTTAATAAGTTTTGTCTTTTTGTTATTTTTCCCAAATCCTGTTCTACCATCCATTTACTCAAGTTCAAGTATGTTATGTGCTGCTTCCTTTTGTCCCTCTTTTTCTCAATCTTTTCTGTGAGTATCAGATTTTCCAAGCCCTCTTTCCTCATTATGTGCCCCAGAAATTTCAACTGCCTCATCGTGATGTTAAGTAATTTCCCTTTTTGTTTCCATTTTCTACTGTTACTTGATTTAAAAACTGACAGATTTGAAGACATTTTTATGTCATAAAATTAAATACATTTTCAGTGTGAAAAATATTTGTTTTTATATTAACATTTTAAAATTTATTTCAAAATTAGTATTACTGTTTTAATATTTTAATTTTAAATAAAGCAAATTTTGAAATTATAACTAATTTTAAAAATATATTTTATTTTTTAATGGATGATGAGTCAGCTAAGGTTTCAGCCACTCTGCCCAGAAACCATAACTGGTTGAGGCTTAAAGACACCTACAGAAAGAAAGAAAGAAAGATTACACTGCTTTTTATTGCCTACCCATGAAAAGTAAATGCGCAAAAGCTGGAGCTAATAAACTTGTATTGATTTTTTTTTTTATAGATGACTAGTTCAGAAAGAGTAAGCTCCCTTTAACATAATCCTGATTCCATAGCAAAAGAGGGAAACACATCAGTGAGATGGGAAGGTGTGCTATGTATAGAGACAGCATCACTTGGGAAATAAGATTGTAATTTGAAGTGTAGGCTGGATATTTCCCACATCTATAATAAAAGCCCAGAGATGATTTATCTTCCAAGGTCAAGGCAATCCAGACATTAGTTCCCTGTCATTCTTGTCTTTCATTTTGGGAACACTGAACAGAAATACTAGACACATAATTACCAAAATTGACATGATAGAAGTTTGTGATGTTAGGTTAAAAATGCTGGTCAGTAATTAAGTTTGTAAAGAGGCAGTAGCAGCTGCTGCTGATGCTACTGCTGCATCCTGGAGAGAATGATGAGGGAGAAGCATTTTTTTACAGCATTTTCTGACCAGAAAAAGTTTTGGAGAAGAGAAGATTGATTATTTAACTTTATTCATGTGTGTGTGTGCGTGTGTGTGTGTGCATGCATAAAGACACAGACAAAAAAGCATTTCTAAAAAATGTTAGGCATAAAAAAAATGCAAAATCACTAAACATTTTTTAAGCTTGATTTAGAGTAGACCAAGAGAAAAAATGATGTAAGGGTAGCAAAGATAGGGTTGTGTCAATCTTTCTTGTGGTGGCTGGGCATGTATACTTAAAAAAAAAAAAAAATTCAAAATATTAGTTTCTACTTGAACTTGAACACTGACCACTAGCACCAGTGAAAATTACTCCAGTGTGCAAGCAGACTAAATAAATACCCCAAGGTCAAATGGAAGAAAGTAAAAATTTTATATCAGTGATTTAAATAGGGAAGGGTCAACATGCTTTTAAATCAGTATTTGATATCATTGAATTGTAGATGTGCAGAATATCTGGAGGTGCTATAGATTTTGGGGTTAGAGAATTGGTTGACTATATCTTCTTCCAGAGATGGGTTTGGGGCATACAGATACAGCATAGAAAAAAAAATCAATCCTAGCAGAATTTCCATCTTTACTCCTACTGGAATAAAAACACAAACATAACATAGAAAAATATCACAAGTGTAAACTGAGATCCACCTATTTCAAAATTAAAATTGTTTCTGGGACCAGAAAATGTAAGGCGAGAATGGTTGGACAGTTATTTCATACAACTATATATGGGTGTGATTATTATAATGTTTCCTTCCAGAAGCAGAGAATAAATCTCATTTTAGGAGAGGCTCTGTCATTTGGGCTCTCTGCCATCCTATCTCCATATCTGTCAGTATTAATTAGCTTTCTGGCTGGCCAGATGCCATTGTTGCTCCCCATGTAGCCTCGCTTTATCGTGAAGTGTTCCTGACACAATGAAAAGACAGTCCCAATCATTTGCCTCATAATATCTGGCCTAAACACTGGACACTTAAACCAATGCAAAATATATCAGAAACTAATGTAAACCATTAGCGCCATAGGAGTGGTGTGTCTAAGATAGCCTGACGAAGCCCATCCCTCTTCAGGCTGGTTTTGGATTTAGAGGTTTCTTTCTCCTAGACTGGTTGCAACCTCAAGTCAAGAGAGCCCAGTCAGACTTGCTATTTAACCACTAGATGGTGGAAGAGGAGAAGAAATAGATACATTCTTTTTTGAAGGGTACTGGTGCAAAATTGAACAAAACAAACTAAGCAAGAATTTGAACTCTCTTCACAGATTTCTCTTTCTCAGTCACTAACCATTACACCACCTGTACATCCTATTGGAGACTTATTGGAGTAAATCTCTAAAAATAATAGTCATTTCAAATTAATGTGAAAATAAATTCTTTAAATTACTCCACTTGCGATCTACCATTTTTCAAAATAGTCTCCAAACTCCTCTTTTCGGATTCTCATCAGCTGCCTCATCACATTCCCCAGACCTGAAATCTCCTTTTGAATAATGATAGTCAGAAATCAAAGGGAACTGAATCTGAACTATTAAGGGAGATTTACAAACTTGATGCATTGGACTTCATTGATCTAATTGGAAAGCCTCTGTGAATCAGATGGTCACAGAGTACACAAGCTCACTCAATTGCATTTTACTGCTGACAGTAACCCCATAGGAGATTGTTAACACTTGTGCATTAAGGTCTCTTCTGATTTGTTGCCAAGGCTTTACAATCAGTTCTTGAGATATTCTAAATAGATACTTCCTGAGAGACCTTGTATAAATATCACAAGGATAAAACAGGCTAAAAATACCCATTACATGTGTATGTGTTATTTTCTTCTATAGGCTTATATGCATGTGGGTTTATGGCTTTATCATGATGAAACACCAGTTCTCATACAATCACTGAAATTAAGCAATGTTTAGCTTGGTCAGTACCTAGTTGGGTGACTGCTTGGGAATACCAGGTGCTGTAAGCTTGGATGTGCAAGTGGTGTAATGGATAATGGCTTGGAATTAAAAATCAGAGAGCCAAATTCCAATTCTAGTTCAGTCTGTTATATTTACATATGAGCAAATACCCTCGGAAAAACATATGAATCCACTTCTTCTCACCCCACCAGCTACAGGTTAATTAGTAGGACTTGTATCAGTAAATCATTATTATCTCCAAAGAAATTCATACAATCTAAAAATATTTTCTGGTTTTAAATAACGTGCAAAAGGTTGGTAAGCCGTAAAAAAACAAATAAATGTATCTGTCTATATTTCTGAGATCAGGTATTATTTACATTATTTGGACTATTGTCCTCATCTTTGTCGCCATATCTATTACGTTTCGGCCATTGTACACTCCGGCCTTCTTCAGGTAGTTGGAATGTCGAACTGAACCCTTTATTTTGCTCAATGGGGTAGACTGTTCTAGTTCCACAAGCCATATTTAATGGATCTCAGTTATCAGTTATCTCCTGTTAATTCCCCTTAATTTTCTACTACCTTAACCGGGTATTGAACTCACACTCTTTCGATCTTGTCACTGGATCTAACCAATGCCTTTATCCATTTGGCCATGTGTCCTTGAAGACATTCCAACCACCTGAAGAAGGCCGGAGTGCATAACGGCTGAAACGTTGTAATAGATATGGTGACAAAGATGAGGACAATAGTCCGAATAATGTAAATAATGTACAAATAAATGTACACTACAGTTCAAATGTTTGAAACCATTCCCAAAATTAGCATGGGATGAATTTGACAGAAGAGTGGGGGGGGGGAATGAAAAAGATCTCTTAGAGTCATTAAAAAAAGAATCAATTATCAAACTTATACTTTGAGAAACTTTTGCAAAAAAATGCCAAAAATTTGTACTGCAGTGATCAAGGTTAAAAATTACCAGTGGTTATTTCAAACCTTTGAGCTGTAGTGTATATGGATTAGAATTGTCAAAAAATACCACTTTCCTTCAATTTGTTCTGAAGATTATACAAATGAACATCAAAATGTTAAGAAAACTAGACATAACTTTCATTCATTAATACAATATTGTCTATCCACAAGCATTTTAGAGTTGCCTTCATTCTACAGTTTAAAATTACCAAGAAGTATATTTAAATATCTTATTTAATTTTATTCTTTGAAGAATTAATAATGAGCTAGACCAGGGGAAATTCTATGGGTGTTAACAACAAGGATATCATCATTAATTTTGCATTCCTTGTTTAGGATTGGATTTCTGGTTCCTTCTAAATTCTACTTCAATTCTAAACTTCTAATGTCTCTGACTAAACTCTGAAATTTATACTATTTATTTTTATTTTATTTATTTATTTCCACAATAGGAGTAGGTAGGTTCAAGCATCATCCAATTCACACTCTTCCCAGTCTTTTGAACAAGAGTAGATGTTTATCCCATATTCCCTGGTTAGGACTGAGTTTCTGGTTACTTCTAAATTCTACTTCAACTATATACTTCTAATGCTTCCACTATAACTCTGAAATTTGTACTGTTATTGGGTTTCTGGTGCCTTCTCAAGTTTTTTCCCTCTCTTTCACTTCCAGTAGCCCCTTCTCTCTTAGTGGTGTTATCACCTTGCCTGGGCTGAATTGATTATATATATATATATATATATATATATATATATATATATATATATATATATATATATATATAATTAATGATAAATCAAGAAAAACTTTAAAAAATACATCTCAGTTATAATTTATTTCATGAATATTTTTATATTTATCTCTTCAAACTGAAAGTTTTTTTAGAAATGGAATCAATCCATCAAGACAGATATATCGGGATATCTCTCCCTGCCCACCCTTCTCTCTTTTTCCACTTAATTTAAAAAACAAATTGTTTATATCTGTAATTAATTTATTTTTCCTTTTTTTATTTTAAATTTTTTTTCCTTTTTCCTTTCCTCTTTTTATCCTGATATATCTGGATGGATTGATTTCAATTCTAAAAAACATTCAGTCTGAAGAGATGAATATAAAAATATTCATGAAATAAATTATAACTGAGATGGATTTTTTAAAATTTTTTATCATTATATTACTCTGTAATTTACATTGAGCTCTCTTTGGATTAATGTCCTCCTTGGAATTATTATCTGCTAGCTAGATTGACAAGACCTACTAAAGAAAGATTGTGTCTCAGACAGTTAATGTACAGAGATTCATCAAAAAATGTGCATTCCTTAAATAGGTAATTCAAACGTTGCTCTATCAATACAGTCTCTGTAGCTAAATTGGTAATGGCACATATCAGTTATATAAATAGTTTCTCAAATAGAAAAGGGTATATAGGTTCAATTCCTGTTGAAGACACAATCTTTGTTTAGTAGGATTTTTCAATCAAGATCATTTGTTATTAATTTCACTGTTCAACAAAAGAACACATGGATATCAACTCTAATACATGTACCCACTAAAATAAAAATCCTTTATAGTAATAAGGAATGTATATTTCTGCAATTGAAAAGAGAATAGTGCTATTATATACATATTAAATATAAATTAACATAAAATAAACAATGGACAAAAAAAAAAAAAAAAAAAAAAAAGGAAAAGATATTAAAACAAGATAAGAGACATCAATGGTGTTGGTCAAGCAATGGTTATCAAGTCCAGTCCTGTTGTACATACAAAACAAAAAAGAATTATAGTAGTTCAGAAAATATGCATTCTGGTGCACTTGGAGGGGTGTCGTCAGAGATGTTTTATAACCGAAATCATCAGGCATTTTGGATCTTTCATCATAATCCCTTCACTGTTACATCCAATCAAGGCTGATCAGACCTTGATCCATCTCTCCACAACTGGACATCACTTCATACACCTCTATTTCCATTTTAGTAGTTTGATTGCTAGTTCTGAATTTCATATATTTTAGTCATGTCACCAACAAACCAATGGCCTTCAAATTCTGATCAACTGTCCTTTATTTAGTTTAATACAGGTGTCAATATGATTTGGTGCCTATTTTTTTCAGAATAACCCAATGAAAGATGTGGTAAATTGTATTTTGCACTTGTTTGTCTGGGGAAATTGTCTAAAGTTCATGTCTTTTGAACAGAAGTAGAGATTTATCCCTGGTTTCCTGCTTAGGATTGGGTTTCTGGTTCCTCCTTAATTCTACTTCAACTCTCTATTTCTCATGTCTCCACCTAAAACTCTGAAATTTTATTTATTGTTTATTTACTCAATAGAAGTAGATAGGTTTGCCTATCATTCAGTTCACACTCCACCCCAGACTTTTGAACAAGCGTAGAAAGTTTATCTTTTGTTTCCTGCTTAGGATTGGATTTCTAGTTCATTCTAAAATTTATTTCAACTTGATATTTCTAACATCTCTATCTGAACTCTTTTTATTTACTTTCTTTTTTTTCTTCAATTAGGAGTAGATAGCTTCACTAATCATCCAGTTCATATTCATCCCTGGAGATTGGAGCAGGAGTAGAGGTTTATCCCTTGTTTCTTGCTTAGGATTGGGTTTCTTCTCAATTCTACTTCCACTATACTTCTCATATCGCCATCTAAAACTCTGAAATTTTATTTACTATTTATTTACTCAATAGGAGTAGATAGGTTTGCCTATCATCCGGTTCACACTCCTCCCCAGACTTTGAACAGGTGTGGAAGGTTTATCCCTTGTTTCCTGCTTAGAATTGGGCTTCTGGTTCCCTCTCAATTCTACTTCAATCTACATGTCATAGATGAGACTTATTGACTTATAATGTCTCCACCTAAAACACTGAAATTTTATTTACTATTTATCTAATTTTTATTTCCTCAATAGTAGTAGATATTATGTTGTCAGTTAAATTATACCGTCAGTTTAATTTAGATAAATGGAAGATGTGGTAATTTGTATTTTGCACTTGTTTGGGGGAATTGTGTCATTTTTATTTTATCTAAATTATTTGAAAATGATGAAATAAATAATTTCAATGAAAGAAGTAATTTTTTTTGGCTGCTTGTGCACATAAAGAAAACGAATAATAGGATAATAATTATGATTGCATAAATTTACTTTTCCTTCTACCATGATTGTAATAGTCATAACAGTATGATGATGTTATACACTGGATATTCAATGATTGGTATTTCAGATATCAGGAGGCACGGTGGAGTAATGGATAGCAGCTTGGGTTGAGGACTCAGAGAGCTGAGTTTGAATTCTGATTGAATCCATTACATTCATTTACATGCCTTGGGGAAGATATGAATCCTCTTCTTCTCCCCCTAGCTATGGGTAAATAGCAGGACAGACTGGGTTCTATAGCCTTGGATGGCAACTGGTCTACCGTAGAAAGAAATGGCAATCTACTGCATGGAAAAAAAAATCTGCCTTGTCAGCCATGTATTGAAAGATACATGATTGCCTAAGTGTGTATCACACATGGCATGTAACTGATTTCAGATTTACAAAGCCTGCCTTTCATCTCTACAAAATTTACTTTTCATTTGTTGGTTTCAATCTCTGTGGGAATGACTGAATGACCCCCATTCCAAATTTATCGACAAATCTTGCAGATGCATGCTGGGATTTCTTCCTAACCAATAAAAATGGATAAATTCTTGGCCTCATCCACCTTAGATATTTTTTTTAATTATTTCTTGTCTTGAAAATCAGAATGCTATAATCATTTGACTGTATCACTTTTGCATGTGAACACAATTCTCACTTTGTGAAATTTTTACCTTATTACTGTTGCTTTGCCTAATTTTGTCTTGCATTTACATATTGCTTGCTCAGTATTATTTTGCCCCTTTCTTTTTCTTCCTTTTCTTATTGTTTATTGAGAATCTTTTCAATTACTATTAACGATGCCCAATTATTTCACAGCTTTTGAATTTATAAGCATGACATACAGCTTAAACACCATTTCATGAAATAAATTACAAAGCATGCAAGTGATTGCAGAATCAAACTATTCAGAATTATTTGTCATTGTGCAGTAGACAGC